ACAAGGAACTCTAGATAGGTTGACTAGACTCAGTGGATGGACAAGCACTGGGGAACGGCTGGGGGCACTGACAACACAGTGGACAGTAACAGGGATGACAGAGTATATGGGCTCTGGTGGGGAGGGGAGCTATGGGAGAATGTCACTTGGAATGTGGTTATATAGATGATTAAGATTGTTTTGGATGTTCTGTATGAAATACACACACACAAAAATAAATGAGTTATATTTGAGGAAGAGGCATAAACATTTGCTTCATGTTACTTAGTAGATGTGAAAAACATTACCATTGAAAGCTACCTGATGACTTTATATCCATGCTCAAGTGCCAAGGATCTCAGAAAGTAACCAACTGTCACTAGTAATAATCAGATATATAGTGATTAGGGACACATGTGCAAACATCCAAGTGTTAGTTGCATTAAAAATGAGTTCTGTATGAAACAATGTATTATAAAATGAAATGGAGATCTTTTTTAAAGGTTAAAATCTCATTCAATTTTGTGTCTTAAGGGGTTTATACTGTATTAACTCAACTGTAAACCTAAACATTTATGGCCAATTTTTAAACAGATGCATCTTACCTCTGTAAATTGTTATTGAATATGTCAATGCTGTTGTAATAAAATGCTTCTTCTAATTATGTGGTTATTAAATAAATAATTTTTTAAAAGGATTACAAACTATTCATGGGAGGTGCAATGAACCTACCCCTGCAATGTTACTCTCATTGAAACAGTAAATAAATACAACATAATTTTATTTTTAATCACTTTTATTTTAGCTTCTATTAACAGTGTGTCTCAGGTATAACTACAATATAATTTTTGACAAACTCAAACATTTTGAGCATTCATAGGACTATGAAATCTGTAAAGACTTCTATGTAAACAGCATTAGTATATTCATGGCCATTTACTTATTTTCTGAGAGCAATTCTTGATTGTTTTCCTCAAGAAACTAATAACATAGTCAACTTCAGATATTTAAAAAATTGATGGTTTTCTAATCAAGTTCTAAACCAAGCCAATTACCAACCTCCTAGTTTAGCTGTCCTTCTTTTCCTCACTTACATTGGCATTTTTCTGAATGTGCTAGGAAGAGCTGCTTTACTTACATATACTTTTAATTTTTAGTCTTTTAATAAAGCTATGAAAAATCTATAAAATAGTGCTAAACATTTTTATTGCAAATTGTAGCAATGAGCATTTAGAAAAAGCCCACGAATCAGACATTTTGCAAAGTAGAGACAAAACAGTAAAACATAATTCTCCCATTTTCATTCAAATTATGTGCATGGACTTATTTTCAAATCTACATTCTTCCATTTAATGATAATTTATATTTTCTGAGTAACCACCATTCTATGTCATTAGTTAAAATAATTGTGGTGACTTTGTGATTAGTACATTATTATGAATGCCTTTAGAGGGATGATATTTTATAATCAACATAAACATTAACCAACACAAGAAGGGGAGGTTAATTTTATGTTAAGCTTTACTAAATGATATCTTACTATCAAATATTATTTTCAATTGATAAAATGCCTTAAGTGGTCATTTTTAGGAAAAGCATGTATGTTTTGAACTTAATCATGTAATATTTTTTAAAATTATATGGTTCCAGAATGAATTATACTTAGCATGAAGTAGAAAAGAGCAACTTTGTAATTCTGTATTTTTGCAATGCTAAGAGAAAATTGTGTTGAGGAACCAGTTGCAAATATTCTTTTAATTTACATAAAAATCAAGCAGTGTAAAAAACATAGCAAACTACCAATAAACCATACTAAACATCTTATGCACTGTGTCATATAAAAATTCACAGTGTAGTTATAGTTTTATGTGTGCAAAATAATGAACTGAATTCAAACTTAAGATGACTTTAATTTCTTAATTGAATGTATTAGAAAGCATTACAAATGCAGTATGTGTGATTTCCCAATTAAACTGACGAAATCTATTTTAATAGCTTAACAAAATGCTCTGTATTGTCTAGCTGAACACTGCATGGTATCTCTTGTAATAAATTAAAACGTTTGAATAACCAAAGATGAATGATTACCCAACTTTGATGTAAAGAAACTTCAGCTTTTCCTTTAATGTCTTGGGTACCTTAAGACAACTGTGTAGAATGAGGCTGTCCTGTAGGCTGTTGTATAAAATATCATAGTGTGAAACATTCTAGACATGACAATCTGTGCAAAAGTCTTTCTGTTTTTGTCCTTCTTATGGCTCAATTTCTTAGTCTGTCCCTCTGTATCTCTTGTTCTCTACCATAGCTCTTCACCTTTCTAAGGATGTTGAAATCTTTCTTTTTAACTGGGCAGGAGGTAAAGGCTATGTGTTTTAATTACTTATTTTATGAATATTTTTTGTGCTACCTTTGGATTTCAAAAGCAAATTGATGAAGCTGATTATATATTTGCTTCAAAGTTTTCCCTCAAGCTCTTCTACATAAAAATCCTTTGTACTTATACAGCTCATTTTTTTTTTCATCTGCATGAATAACTTGCTGGAAGAAAGATTTCATGTTGCTGGAATAAAATCCTAAGAGAATGCACCAGGGTCATTTATTTTTAACAAGAACTTTAAAAAAATAAAACATTTCTAATCCTTGGCAGGTGATTACAGCTAGATCAAAATAAACATGTTTTAAAATTATAAGTCCAGGCTACTTTATTGATTAATGGAAAATAAACATAGCATAGATTATATTATTAAAGAGAAAGTATCCCATTTTACAAATGAAATAATAGAGGTCCAGAGTATTACTTCCATAGTTATGAAAGCTATTGACAATAAAGCAAGCTTACCAGAATCACTCTCTGTATGTCATTTCATTCATACTAAACACCTGCTAAGCAGGTATTAAAACCCTGTTGTTTATAACTTGGAAGTTTGCCAAACACATTTAGGATTATATTTAAGTTATGTGGTAAATACTGTGCCCCACTCATCTGCTCAAACAAGTATGAAGATATCAAATAGCTAATTGCATATCAGGAAACATTTAACTTTTCATTGAAAGGAGCCATCAAATTTGCTTAGAGATAAAGGATGACAAACCGAAACTGCCTAAGATAAATGTGGCAACAGGATTAAGAGTTGAGTCATAGCAGTGTTTGGGGGCAAGTCAGATTTAATAAAAATGAGTAAATACAACAATGAATTATTAATTTTTTTCTATTAATTTTGTTCATCGTTTTCTTTTGAGAAGTTTTATAAATATTTCAAGTAATCTTTCAAGGTCTGTGGTTATTGTATGAACAAAGTAGGATATAAGAAAGGCTCAGTGGTGTGCTACTCAGGAGCTGAGGTGGGAGAATTATTTGAGTACAACACTCTAAAGATGTTCATAAATCAAGTGTAATGTGAGTCTACATAAACAAAAATATTTCTTAAATAAATAGCCTACATGTTTTTAATCCATTACATTTTATAGATACATATAAATTAGTTTTGATGCGATGTAGAATAAATTTAAGCACCTCAAAATATAAATTGATCTCTTTATGAATAAAGAGCCTGATGTTTTGAAAGAACATTCATTACTAAGGCCTATGACTTTTACAATGAATTTCATTGCAAACCGAAGGCAAAATACTTGCATTGATTTCCAAATCATAGATATTTTACTACTTGCATTTGTGTCTGTCTGTATGTATGTGTATACACCTAGATTTCTGTATTTACATGGGATATGTGGTTCCTTACAATCTAGAGAAAAGATAACAAGGCAAACGTGAAAATTTTCTACATGGTTTTCTGATGTAGTAAAAGAACAAATCACCTTTGTTTGCTATAATGATCATTCCCTCCAGAGTTACTCTCACAATTCTTACAGAATCATTTACCAATGCAAAAATAGTCCTGTGTTAATGTTGCTCTCCTTTCTTCGTGGATCAGAGCTCTGGCTGTTCTGCCTTTGAGAATATTTTGATAAAAAGAGTTTGGCATAGAGCTTAAAAGAGTCTTATTAACACAAATAAATCACCTTCACAGACTGTAAATAATATATCAAAAATGAAGCTCTATTTTCCTTCTTTTCCATCTTTCCCTTTGTCTTCCTTTTCTGTTTTGTCTGCTTCATATTTCTCTTGGTCGGGCTTTGTTACACTATCATATGAAGGTGGAGAGATGGTGGAGGGTGTTGCACGTGTTTTTTCTGGACTTGAATTCTCGCTAACATTATCAAAATCTATATCTTCTTTGTTGGGCAAATCATCATCTTTGTCTCCATCTTTTATGTATATACTTGATATATTTTTGACATTTTTCCTTAAGCGGTACCGCCTGTAAGCACGCTGAATGATGATGGCAGATACCTCCTCTTGTTTTCGCTTTAGTGTGGTTGTGATGGGTTCATAGGACACCTTAGAAGGATTTGCAGACATAAACCTTTCTTCCATCTGTGAACGAAGGGAATCCATCTCTCCACTCTCACCTAAAACCCTCTTTGTAAAAGCAAATAAGATGTCCAGGCAGTGGATCCGGTCTCCGCTCACCATGGGTAGGTCCATGGCGATGAGCTGGACTTTGTTTGGCTTTGCGATGAGCAGAGGAGGATCCAGCGCAGCTGCAAAGTCAGAGAGCTTGCAGAATTCAATGAACTGAGTGGCATCAGGGTCGAACTTCTCCCAGACCTCATAGAACATCTCAAAGTCATCCTCGCTCAGGGGCTCTGCACTCTCTTCAGTGGCAACGCTGAAGTTCTCCAGGATGACGGCGATGTACATGTTCACCACAACCAGGAAGGAGATGATGATGTAGCTGACAAAATAGAAAATACCTACAGATGGGTTCCCACAGTCCCCCTTCACTGAGCTTCCAGGGTGGTCTTTTTCAGGGTCACAGTCGGGAGGCGCACTGTTCAGAATAGGAGCTAGGAGTCCATCCCAGCCCGCAGAGGTTGTGATTTGGAAAAGACAGATCATGCTGTTGCCGAAGGTCTCAAAATTGAACATGTCATTAATTCCAGCTTCCTTTTTAACATAGGCAAAATTGGACATTCCAAAGATAGCGTAGATGAACATGACCAGGAAGAGCAGGAGGCCGATGTTAAACAGAGCAGGAAGTGACATCATCAGAGCAAAGAGCAGCGTGCGGATCCCCTTGGCGCCTTTGATCAGACGGAGGATTCGGCCAATCCTGGCCAGGCGGATCACACGGAAGAGGGTAGGGGACACAAAATACTTCTCTATCATCTCAGCAAGAAACATTCCTATGTGGGAGGGGGAAAAATGGGGAATGGAAATGTTTAAATATTCATGCTACAGAATATCATGACTCTCAATAGGGTCATCTGCCATCTTACAAATTCAAAATTTATTTTATCTTGAATTAAAAATTTTTAATAATTAACTGGTTGTGGGGGTCTCCCTCTTTACTAAGCTCATGGACACCCCTCCCCCCTTTTAGTTTGCTTATATGATGTTTTCCTATATATACTGTTTTTCTTTGTCTTGAGGCACAGCGTAGCTCAAACTGGCTGACTCTTCTGCCTAACTTAGTCTTGTGAATTCTGGGATTATAGGTATGTAAAAGCTACCCAGAAACCCACAACTGGTCAATGTACAGAGAATAAGAGTCTGCAGAGTGAGTATCCCTGAATTGGACACCTATATCAAACTTCTACTTCCAAAAGCTCAAGGATCATTGCAGAAGATGGGGTGGAAAGATTTTTAGAGCAGAGGTTGGTGGATGACCATAAAGAAACAAAGTTTTCCAGACGGCTGGGAAGTTACTCATATGAACTCACAGCAATGGTGACAGCATGCACAAGTCAAACATAAGCTCAAACCAGGCAAAATCCCAGTATAGACATGGGAAAATACATAAGAAACCATACCTGAGGAACTACTGAAAACTGCTGTCTGCTAGGAAGGAAGGGGAAGTCAGTTTCATTTAAAGGTGAGATTCTTAGTAGATTAATCAAGCTCCAGTGAATGGATCCACACCAAAGGATATATGGGAACACAAATTTGACACTATAGGGGATATATGTATATGAAATCAGACAGGGAGTTTTAATAGGAGGTGTAGATAGGAGTAGGATCTAAATAACATCAAAATATATTGTATGAAATTCTCAAAAATTCAATTAAAGAAAGGAAAAACATTATAAGGTTAATACCTACTCAGGTAGAAAATCCAAGCAACATGTAAGTGCTAAAAAGTAAAATAAATAACCAATCATAACAAATATTCAATATTCTGCTGGGTACCACTCTGGATAGTTCTCTATATAGGTGCATGAGTGGGTGAGCATGCACACACACACACACTGAAATATAATCATGCTGTAGATTCTGTAGCTATTTTTTTATATAACATATATCAATAACTTCATCAAATATCATGGGAGATTTTTCCATAAAATGGTAATTCTTATGGCTATATGATGTTCTGTCAAAGTAACTCTATATGTATGTGTAGCATTTATGTTAGTCCCACATTTTTGAGATGGGGTCTCACTATATAGATTAGATTAGCCTGGAACTCTCAGAGATCTGCCTGCCTTTGCTTCCCAAGTGCTGGTATTAAGCCACCACAACTGGCTTAGTTTCAACTTTTAAACTGAAATATCTAAATACATGCTTTTTTCCTAATTTAATTTCACAATAAATTCTTTAGATAATACATAAATACAAGTTGAGTCAAACAGGACACAACAAATTCTTTATATATTGCCTAACCTATTCCCTAGAACATTTGCATCATTTAATACTCCTTATAGCAGCATATGAAAAGTTCCCCACCCCTTTTTAATATAGTGCTTGAAACTCTTGCTAAAGCAATAGGACAAGAAAAGGAAATTAAAGGAGCACTCATTGGAAAAGAAGGGATCAAATTATTCCTTTTTCCAGATAATATGATATTATACCTAAGAGATGCCAAAAATGCCACCAGAAAACTCATAGAAATGATTAACACTTTCAGTAAAGTGTCAGGATATAACATTAGTCTATAAAATCAGTAGCCTTTTTATATGCCAATAATAAGCAATTGGAGAAAGCGTACCCTCCCATTCACAATAGCCTCAAAAAATTAAAATATCTCAGAATAAACCTGACCAAAGACATTAAAAATCTCTAAAATGAAAATTTTAGATCTTTAAAAAAAGGGATTGAGGAAGACACCAGAGATGGAAGGATTTCCCATGCTAATGGATTGGAATAATTAATACTGTGAAAATGAGCATCTTACCAAAAGCCAGTTATAGATTTAATGCAATGTCAATCAAAACCCCCATGACATTCTTCACAGAATTAGAAAAAAAATACTAAAGTTCATATGGAAGCACAAAAGACTCCAGGTAGCCAAAGTAACCCTGAGAGTACTACATAGCACTACAACTGGTGACACAGAGACATTCTTTGTGAATTGCCCAAGTTTAAGTGGCACATCTGCAATGCAACCTCTATCCCCAAGGTTCATAGAACATAGAACAAGGGGTAAAGAATACAATAATGAATATCTCAATTTTTCATTAATGAAGAGCCCTCATGCAACAGAGGGTCAGGAACAGAAAAGGTCATAAGTGGCCAAAGTATAGAGACTAAGAGTCTGCAGAATGCTGGTCCTTAGACAGAACTCCTACATTAAACTATACCCACTCAGTGCTCAGAGACCTTTGCAGAAGGGGGTTGGGGGAGCCAGGGAGGAGGAGGTGCATGACCATATGGAAATAGAGACCTAAGAGCTCTTGAGACCCTGCTAGTATGAACCTACATCAATGGTGTCAGCATGCACAGGATCCATGCAAACTCAAACACACAACCCAGCATAGAATGGGGGAAATGAACAGCTGACCCCAATCTTAATTGAAAAATATTGGCAACTGATTACTACTGGGTGAGGAAGAGATGATTTTCTAAAGCAAGAGATGCTAGATAGGCTGATTAGACCTCAACAGATGAACTTGCACTGAGGGATGTCTGGGGACACTAACTTGATACATAGGCCTTAAGACAAATGACAGAATGTATGAATTCCAGTGAATGGGGCTATAGGAGGGTGCCAGTGGGGAAGGAGGTATAAAGATGATTAAGACTGATTGAGATATTGTGTATGAAATACACAAAAAAATTCAGTAAAAAACAGAAAAGTTCCTATCCTACCCTGTTTACAATGTTTACCAGAAGGTATTTATGCCATTTAAATTCATCTGTTATTTTTATTTATTCAAATCTCAGAAAAATCATCTACCCTGTTCCTCTTTATGGATATTTTATATCTTCATTGTTTTCAACTTTTCTCTTTGTGGCTGAATAAGATCTTTGTCTCTTTAATCAGAATGGGTTTTACCACATTTTTTTTGATGTACATAAACTTTTTGTATTGAAATCGTTCTTCATAAGACTTAAGTGTTACTGGAATTTTGTGTATTTTTTTCTCTGTTTTTGAGAGTGCTGAGTTTTCTCCTGTTGAATAGTTAATTTTTAGGTAGTCATAGCCATGATTATTTTTCTTTTGTAGACTGTAGTTTGCGTCCTAAATAGAAAGAACTATGCAACATCAAGCTTGAAGTCTATTTACACGGCTAGGGATGTGGCTCACTCTTACCACCCTGGTTTAGAAACTGAAAGCCCTGGATTAAACCCTTCTAATGAAAAACCAAAGCAAAATCAAACGTACAAAAAACCTTTTCCACATACTTTCTACTTGAGTCCATGTTAACTAAAAAAAGCTAACCTTTGATTCATATAGTCATTTAACTGAGTAAAATCAGTAATTCTCTGTATATTACAGTTTAGTTTTGGACTACTCTCTGAATCCATTGAACTTTGATTGTTAAACACTATTGCAGCTATCAATTTATATTTTCAGTTTATAACTCCCACCACATGAAGTCTATTGATAGGTTCATTGAAATTATAAATTAATTTCTAGATAATAACTATCAGAGCTGGAGCAATAGCTTGGCAGTTATGGCCACTTGGTCTTCCAGAGGACATGGGATCTCTTTCTATCACTCCATGTGGCTCATGTTGGCCTATATCTCCAGCACCAGGGGATCTTACCATGTTCTGGATCCTGTAGGCACTCACACAAACACACACATGCACACAAATAAAAATAAATAATATATCTTACAAAGTCATAGTTCAATGGCAGCCTTAACCAAGCACAAGATAAGCCTTTCAATTGTTATAGCTTCTTTTGTTCTTTGCTTTTTTTTTCATAGAAGCTTTATACATTGCATGTTAAATTTATTACTAGATTATTTTTTGTCTTTTTTGAGTCAGGGTCTCCCTGTAGCCCCAGCTGTCCTGGAACAACTGTGTAGACCAGGCTGGCCTCAAACACACAGAGATCTGCCTGCCTGTACCTCCCAAGTGCTGGGATTAAAGGAGTATGCCACCATGCTCGGCTATTACTAGATTTTTAATCTTATTTTTATTACAAATTAAAACTTTATTCAAGCATGTATTTTTTTTGCCAAAATTTCAGACAATTACTAATGTTGGTAAATGTAATTAAAATTTGACCTTTCTGAACTCTAGTTGAATTTGTTTTTAGTTGATTCTCTTTCAATTTATTTATTGAATTATTTTTAAGATTTTTTTTGAGACAGTGTCTGGCCACGCAGCCCAAGATAGCCTGGATTCTGAATCCTCCTGCCACAGCCGTCTTAGTGCTAGGGCTGCAAGAGTGCAGCATCAGAGTCAACTCTTTCCTTTTATCCTGTCATGATACGGTGAGAATAAGAAAATTTGCTCCCTGGTATTAATGCATGTACCTGCGTTTTCTTATCTAAATTTAGTTCCCAACATTGCTGGGAATATATAGTAGAAAGATGCTCTTTTGTCTTCTTGGTTTGATGGGAATGCTTACATCATTATATTTTATGTTGTCACTGTGAACTGGCTACCTAAATTTTAATTTGTTTTGGTATATCTTTAGTGCCACTTCTGGTGACTATTTAAAAGTTGATTTTAAGTTATATGGCACTCAGTATTGTGATTCTAGATTATGTAGCCTTTAGCTTTTTCTATCCCAGTTGGATTATCTATAATTTTCATTCCAGAGTCTCTTCCATTAAAAGATTGTAATAGTAAATGTAG